AAATTCTCAACTACTGTTGGTTGGAAACTGGCCAATAGGACCTGAGAGATTTTGCTGAGGGGTGCAGGACAGAGCACAAAGCCTCCCTCCTTACTCCCAGAATAGAGCAGACACATTTAAAGTGGCTGATGTTGCACTGTGCTTAAGGGTCCCAGCGAGGCAGCCGCGGGCTAGATCCAGTGGCTTGGTGGGCCACATCTGGCACGCTAGCAACCTCTTGCCCACGCCTGGTCTACATGCAGCCTGTAGCCAACTGACAGAATTCATGCCACAAGAGATCAGCCATACTATAGAGCAGGGGTGTCCAAACTTTTTTCAAAGAGGGCCAGATTTGATTAAGTGAACATGCGTGAGGGCCGGCCATTTTGCCTGACATCTTTGAACCATTAAAATTAAATGCAAATTAACTATTTTATGCAAAGTTTATTGCAAACGGCATACTTTTCATTTCGTCACATGGATGACAAATCTAAACAGGTGTTAAATCACTCTGCCTTTCATATCTGAAGGCCAGATGAAAAAAAAATCCAGGAAGCTGAAATATATGTCAGGAACATTGTAAAGTACATTACATATTATTGGTAATAAAGGTTGTCTGTCAACTTTTAAGTTCAAAAAATATGAACAGGAACATAACACCAAGTATACATGTTGTGTCCAAATATATTTATAACTGATTTAGACCAACTGACATTAACTGAGATTTTACAATGTATTCATCTCAATACATATGGATTCGTTGGGGGCCATAAAAGATAGATATTGGCAAATTACCTGGGGGCCGTATTAAACCGGAACACGGGCCGCAATTGGCCCGCGGGCCGGACTTTGGACATGCCTGCTATAGAGCAATGCTTATCAACCAGTAGATCAGGATCTATCGGTAGATCTTGTAGCCTCTGACAGGTGATCCTGACTGGTTTGGCCTGGAAGCTATTAAGTGCTGGCACTTCAGTTGTCCCTCCACCCGTTGTCATGCGGCTCCTGCCCTCTGCCTTGGAGCTGCCCCCCTGGGAGCATCCTGCTTGCTGTGCAGGGTGTGGGAGGAAGAAGGGGGGCACTGATGTCAGGGTGTCCCTCTTCACCCCACTTCTGTATTTTACCTCCACACAGAGAGATGGGCATGGAAGGAGCTTGGCAATGCACATCTCTGTCACTCTCACACACTCTGTATGTCTCTGTCATTTCCACAAACACACAGTCCATTACTCTCCTCTCCCCACCCAACTCATACGTGTGGGAGGCGGGCGGTTATTACTTCCTTTAATGCTTGCAAAGCAGGTTATTTTTGGTTTTGACTGGTCTGTGCATTTCATAATTTTCATTTCTCTCTTATGCTTAAATTTAATTCTTTGAGTAGTGAGTTCTAAAATGCCTAACCTTTTGTGGCTGGAGTAATTATCCCTCTGGTTATTGCTGCTCTGGGAAGTGGCTTGCATGTCCCTGGAGCTCCTGAGAAAGGCAGAGCAGGGGGCCTCAACATGCTGTACTTGCCTGCAGACATAACTCTTGCAGCTCCCATTGATCAATATTGGGTAAACTTGGCCAGTTGAAGCTATGGGCTCAGCCAGGGCAGGAGTAAGCCTGCTTTAACTCCACTGCTTCACCACCTGGAAGCCATCTCAGTTATACGGTGCCCAGCCAGAGTCTGCTTCCTTAACTCCTCTCCCTAGCCCTGAACCACCTCCTGCTGCAGACGTGTCTCCCTGCACCCAAACTCCTTCCCAGAGTTTTCACCCTGAAATCCCTCTTAGCCCTGAATCCACTGCCCTGGGCTAGGCCCGGAGCACCTCCCACACTCCAAACTCCTTGGCCCAAGACCAGACCCTGCACCCCTACCCCATCCTGGTGAAAGTGAGGATGGGGCAAGAAGGGGGATGAAGCGAGCAGGGTGAGGCCTCGGAGAAAGGGTAGAGCAGGGGCAGGACCTCAAAGAAGGGGAAGGAAGGATGTGGGGCAAGGGTATTTGGGTTTGAGGTAGATCTTATATTGCACTTAAATACAAAAAGTGGTTTTGTGGTTAAAAAGGTTGGAGACCACTGCTTTAGAGTAATTTTTTAAAGGGGCTGGATAATTTTATGATCAATAATATTTGTAGTTGGGGGACACTGAAGTCAATGTAGGACAAAATTATGTTTTGTTAAAAAAAAAAGTAAAAAATCCAAGGAGTTTACAAAAGATAAGATTTAAAACTCTATTGAAGATTGTAAGCACCAGCTTCTTCAAGCCAATGTGTAGGTTAGATTTAAACGTTCTCCTATGAGGCTGAAAGAGAAACAGACAAGAAACAAAAGTGAAAGTTTTCATTGTCCAGGGTCCACAGTAAGTGGAATGCAAATTATCTGTAATAACGTTAAAAGCATGTGCAGATATTTTAAATTCTTGGTGTATTAATCTACAGTGATACTAAAACAGATAAGGCATCTGATTTTAAAATATGTAATTTCAACCTGCCTTGTCTTTATGCAGGCCAAAATAAGTCTAATCAAATCTTGTGCTTAGGATGTAAATTGATTACTACAGGAGTCAGAAAAAGAAACCACTTTCTCCAGTATTACAGCAAATAATCATAATAATTTATTCTTCCATAGCATCTTCCATGACAGGCATGTCAAACACCTTCACAAAGTTGGACAATGTCCCTGTGAGGAAAGGAAATACTGTCCCCATTTTACAGTTGGTGGTGAAAATAGTACAAAGAAGTTTTCCCTTTGTGGCCATAGCAAGTCAGTGGAAGAGGTGAAAATAAAACCCAGGTCTGATTCCTGTGCTGTAACAACTAATGGACCATTGTGCTAGAGTAAAGGCTTTTTAACATAGGCAAACATGGAAAAAACCAGAAAAGATTGTGAAAAGAGAGAACATGCTCCCACCTTCCTCATTTCCTATTGAAGTCAATGAGATTTTTTTCTGTTCTGAATTTTAAAGTTGTTTCCAATTGTAAAAATAATTCGGAAAAAAATCAGATTCTGTTTGTCTTCCTAAAAATGTATTTTTAAAATTAATGTTAGAGTACAATAATTGGTATTTTAGTGAACACCTTTTCAATCTTCAATTTGGAAAAAACAAATCCATGGATCTTAGCAGGTAACTTCTTTCTCTCTGTCTCTCTCTATACTCTTTGAATGGGCCTCCTCAATCTAGTTCCTAAAGAACAAGTTTAAAAAAAAAAACCCACACCCGAAATTGCTAAACCAGCAGTGCACTAGAGCTCCCCTTGTCTGTGATTTAGACATGTATGGTTGGCTTTTAACTCCTTCGCCCTCTCTCTGTCTCTACTCTGTTTGCCAAGGAGTTCCTGATTGTCGAAGGAAATGCTCGCAACACACCTATAAAAGCTCCTAACCTTCTTCTCACGCAAAGGAGCAAGCTTAAAATCGGAGATACGGGAGATCTCGCTCCCCCCCCCCCCCCCCCCTTTCCCCCCAGTCCCAGCCAGAGTCTCTCTCTCTCTCTCTCTGCCATTATGTTCAACCATCTTTTAACCAGGCCTCTCTGCAGGCTGCAGTGGCAGTGAGAGAGCCCTGAGCCCTGTCTGCCCGAGGCCCCCCTTGCAGGAGCAGCCCCCCGGGTGCGGGTCGCTGGCCCTGCAGGGCAGCAGCAGGTCTGTTTGCATGGGGGTGCGGCGTGTGCATGCAGCGGGTTCGCTTTCTCCCCCGGGCCTGGCTGCTGCTCCCAGGCGCGCTAGGCCCCGCTGGGCTGTGGCAGAGCGGCCTGGAGTGCGGCAGCCGCGGCTCTCCGCTCGGGCCCGGCTAGCGCCGCCGCGCCGCCGCCCAGGCCGCGCTCCGCAGCGAGGCCGCTGGCGGGAAGGGGGGCCCCTGCCTTCCACAGAGAGGACCCGGGGACCCCTGCGTAATGGGGAAGCAGCCGGCGCCAGCGCGCAGGGCCGAGGTCACCCGAGCGGCACAGCTGCCAGGGCCTGACGGCTGCAAAGTCCAGCACGGCGGGGGGGTGGCTAGCGGCTCCCTGGCCTCCCAGCCGCTGGAGGGGGTAGGCAGGAGGCACCTCGGCCTCGCCGTCCGGCGCCCCTGCGGCCCCCAGCCCCGTCTCGGAAGGGTCCCTGCACTGGTCCAGCCCTCACCCAGACCTAGCTACGCCCTGAACAGAAAGGGGCTATAGCTTGGTGCTATAGGTGGGGATTCAGTGAGGAGCCTTCCTCCCAGTGTGGAGTGGTCTGGGGGCCCGGGTGTGAAGGAGACAGTGGTATGGGGGTGTGCAGAATAAACCGTGTTTAGGAATCTCCCCCCCCCCATGTGGGGAGAGAGTGGGGCCGAGGATTGCGGGGCAGACTGTGGTTAAGAGCCTGCCAGTGTGGGATGGGGATGGGGGTTGAGAGTGTGCCAGTGTGGGAAGGAGATGGGGCTGATGAATGCACAGGCGATCGTGGTTGGGCATCCTGCAATGAAGGGAGAGGCTGGGGGGCCAGGAGGGTAGAGGAGACTGTGGTTAGGAGCCTGCCAATGTGGGGACAGGACGCAGTGAAAGGTGTGGAGGAGACCATGATTAGGAGCCCTGCGGTGTGGGAAGGGGATGGCTGTAAAGGATGCAAAGGAGGAGCCCCCCAGCACAAGCAAGGGGATGTGTGAGAGATGTGGGAAAGACTGTGGTTAGGAAACTCCCCCCCCCTCCCCCCCAGTGCATGGAGACAATCGAAGTGACAGGCACAGAGAAAACTGAGTTAGGAGTTGCCCTAGTGTAGTGAGGAGATGGGAGTGAACAGCGAGACATGGGGATGGCAGTAAGGGCAGAAAAGATTGTGGTTTTGATTTGCCCCAGAAAGGGGGAAAGGATGGAGAGTGAGGGAAGCCGAAAAGACTGAGGTTAGGAGCCACCCCAGAGGGGGCAGGAGATGAAAATAAGGTATGTAGAGAAGATTGTGGTTACCAACCACCTCTGTGTGAGGAGGAGATGGGATAAAGGGCAGAAACAGACAAGACTTTTGTCAGGAGCTGCTTCTTTAAGAGGAAGTGGTGGAAGGAAGAAACAAGTTAGAAGTTATACCAATGGGTGGATAGGTTATAGTGGTGCAGAGAAAATTATGTCAAGGTGCCATGTCTTTGAGAGCATGGGAGAGGGCACAAAAAAGACTGATACAAGAGAGGGTGGACAGGGCAGCAATGGGGGCATAGAAGATTTTAATTTGGAGCCACCCTCACCTCACCTGTGAATTGAAGAAGTGGGCCCTAGATTGGAGGATGTAGGAGGAGAAGGGGAACTTGGTTAGGAATATCCCAGTGCTGAGAGGGGCGAGTACAGAAGAGGCCTTGATGAAGAGTCATTCTACGCCTTTGGGTAGTTGAGTGGGTTGAGCAGACCTTGATCAGGGTAGAGTCACATCTGAGGTTGGGAATGCAGGTTTCAGGAGATAAGACTTTGGTTAGCAGCTCCCTCTCCCTACCCCCTGTGCTTTGTGGAGGTATGGGGGCAGATCAGACCTTGGTTTAAAAACTCTTTTCAATCGGTGCTCTAAAGAAGGTTGAGAGGCAAAGAAACCACCATAGTGCTGTGGGGAGGGTGTAAAGAAGAGATTGCTTGTGGGGTGGGGAGAAAAATGCCACGCGGATGGGGAAAAAACGCTTGATAGCATTACCCCAAGTACTGTGAAAGGTGGGAGGATGGGAAGGAGAAGACCTTGGTTAGCGTCTACCCCAGAGCTCCCAGCATGAGGGGGCAGTCATGACGTTAATCGGCAGCCACCTTATACTGTAGGGAGTGGAGACAGAGAAGACCTTGGTTAGCAGTCACCCCAGTGCTGCGGCCGAGTCTGCCTTGTGCAGCAAGAGAGATCCTATGAGGATTTTTATTGCAGTCTCTTTGTTAGCTACAGACACACGCTCACAGCTTTCAGCCAGGTTGTGGGAGGTAAGTGGGGGAGGAGAGGAAGGGAATGTTTTTGGGGTGGAGTTGGGGTGTAAGGATGTTTGTATGCAATGGGGATATGATAGAAATTGGGGGACATAATTGAAATCACCCCCACATCCAAAGAAGAAAAGAGCCCTTGCGATTTTCAGGGACTTGTTGGCAACTCAGCGAGGGTTGCCATAGCTTTTTATGTAGGGTGACCAGAACCGGCTGAGACTGGTTTGAGGCAGATCAGCTCCTGAACACAATGCAGTCACTGAGCTACTACAGTGGGATAGCTTCCTCCCTTCATGGCAGCCAAAAGCAGAGGAGCTTGCAGAAAGATACCATCCCAAAACAGTATGTGAATGCACACTTTAGACACACAGCACTGGTATGTGGCTAATGTAGTCATAAAGGATTCTGTATATAAATTTACATATTTGCAGTAGCTGAGATTACGTTAGCTTTTCATTCCTTTTTATGTTTAAAGAATGGGCAAGAGCTGAGATTTATGACCCTTATTAAAATATTTTTGCTTTGCTAGGGTGGGACACTGGTTAGACTAAATAAAAATGGATTGAATGATTTGTAATTGTAGTTATGCTTGTGACTGAAGAATGCTGCTTTGCATGCTGTTTTATTTACAGGGTGTTGTCTTATGGTTTTCTTCGTTAGAAGATGTGAAAGGGGGGGGGGGAGAAGTGCTGTGTCTTTCTTAAAGGCCAAAGGAAACAATGTTGTAGAATTGTGCATAAAAGCATTGCAAAGATGCTGTAAGGCATACTCTTCTTTTTTTCTTGTAGGCCTATTGATTGGGGCTGCCTTTAACCCTTTCATATTTGCAGAGGTAATGTATCTCTGACAATAACTGAGCAGTGGCTAAAAAAAAATCTTTCAAAGGTCAAGGTTCACAAGGTGAGATACGGTATTTTGAGTACGACTATAACAACAATATGAAGGTACATATATACAAAACCTAAAGCTGACTCCTGATTGCACACTTGGCACAATGGTGAAGAAACAATGGTTTAAATGTAGGTGAAGAAATACTATTAACCTCATCCAAGTTTAATGAGATTAAAGCTATTGTTTGTAAAGACTTACTGATACTCAGGCTAAATACAATTTCTTCATTTATATATCTCATAGATGAAGATTTTTTCACTATTCAGTCATACAGAATAGGCCTCTAAGTGACAATCATAAATTGTGGACCACATGGCAGTGAACTATTCTGCATTGCAGTACAGCATTACACATTTAGACTTTTCCTTCTAATTATTTATAAAAGGATTGCATGGCCAAATCAAAGTAGCTTACTTATTTCTGAATTAATTACTTTAATTTTATACCAGTATTTTATATATGTTTTATGCATAGGTGTATAATATATGTATAAAATATACCAACTTGATTGTGTTTCTTAAACTGTATTACAAGAAGAGGATTTTGGAGCCAAGTGGAAGGATGTATTTTAGAGGTTTGATGGTGTTCCAGTAGATTATTAGTGACATAAATTATATTGAGCAGTTATGAAATAAGAATAGGAAACCGGATGGGCAGTGCATCAGCTGCTAAGGGATAACTGCTTTTAACCAAAGCTTCACTGCAATGCATAGGATTTTTTTTTTGTCATCTAAAAAATAAATGTGTACTTTAGATTTGAGCTGGCATTTGCACCTTATACTGAAAGCTGGAGGCTTCAGAGAGAGGGAGAGGGGGAGAGAGAAGAAAGCAGTAATGATTATAGCAAAGGGAAGAACAAAGGCTGTTAGAGCTTACACACTGGAACACTAAACATTTTGCCTTGGGGATTCTTTTGGTAGAACTGTTACTTCCTAAAACAGGAAATCAGCAACTCTTGAATCTTATCCAGTATGATTTTCACAAATCTAACCAGTCCTGGCTGTAAGCTGGTTTTATAAATCTACAGTGAAGAAAAATATGGAGGAAAAATATTGAAAATGTATTTTAATCTAGTGTGCAATAAGTTTTTTTTATTTTGTGTTCCTCAGAATAAAGTAGACAGTCTTAAAAGGCTTGAGAATTTTTGGATTGGGTAAGTTGTAATGGTGGCTGTTGATAGGCAGGGTGTCTATATCAAAGACTGACAAATATAAAGGAACCTTTTTATTTCTGACTGCAGTAAATTACATACGGTGGTTGGAAGTGGCTTGTGATACAATGAAAGTAGCATGTGAAATGTTTAGCCTGAAAATATTTTGTATAGTTTTAAATATAGGTATAATATACTGTATTTTTCAAATTTGATAGGGTAACAAATAGCTTGCATGATGGAGTAAAATGTCTAACAAATCAGTGCTATGATTTCTTTTAATAGTTTACATAATTTCTGAGTGCAGAGGTTCTATATTTGACTATAGACATCTGTAGCAGAATTATGCTTGCAAACATGAATCCATGTTGCATAATAATAGGAATAGTATTTATTGCTGATGATGATGTATGCTCTTTTCCAAGTGTCAGCAAAAATTTATATGGTTACATGAGAGCACCTTTCATTTTTTCTCATCAGAGTATTAAGCTTTTTTAAAACTGTAGGTCGTTGAATTTTCACCAAGCTCAATGTATCTCTTTTATTTGGCTTTTGGAACTAGTTCTGCATTATGCATTTTTATTTTTTGCAATGGATTTCTTATTCACATTTTATATTTGCAAGGAAGTGTCTGCTGTAACTTGAAAAACCTGATTAGATGCTGGTTTATATGGTACTTCTGGTGGCTTTTTTCCCCCACATAGGCCAGCTTTTCAGCTGAAAATGCTTCTTAATGTTAGAGGCGTTGGTACTCTATCAGTAATCATGAGCTCATCTTGGATTGAGGCTTATCTCAGGTATTTGATCTTGAACAGAGGGATAATGATTTATCAGGTTCCAGATCTTCTTAGACTGAAACAGCCAGGATTCTTGGAAGTGTGACTGTGAAATAGAATGTACATGTGCATACTGCTTTCTGGAACTGAATATGAAAATATTGACCCTAATGTTTTCAGGGCCTGTTTTCTTCACTGGTGTTTCGCAGACAGGCCATGTCTGATTTGGAGTGGTCTCATTGAGATTCCTTGTCACTGCTTCATGCTGCTTTTGATCAAGAATTGCTATCCACTATGCAGAAGACTCTGTTACTCTGAATGGAGGAAGTAAATGGAAGAAAGTGTAATTAGAGCATTTCTCCTTTTTTCCATTGGATTCAGGATATCAAGAACTGTAAAGTTCCCATTATAAATTCTTACATTTTGGTGTTTGTAACTTAAATTTTAGATACAAAAGAGATGAGAGCAGGAGAGAGCTATTTTTGTAATAATCTTTCAAAACAACATACTACAAGATAAGTTTTTAGGATTTAAATGGTTTTGGAACTTGTCTTCAATTTGAAGAGAAAATATGGCTGCTAATAGTCCCAAAACTTGATGTAGCTTTTCAAATGAAATTTGTTAGCAAAATGTAGGCAATTTGACATCTGTCATCTTCCTCCACTATTTTATTATAGAAGTAGTCTGTTCAGCTTCACAGGGCATATGGGAAAGCGGTGTCATACTGTGGCGTAGAGCAACACACTCCAAACAGTAGGGTGGGGTCATGGAGGAATGTTTGGGGTAGCATGGTGAGTTCATGGGAAGGAATGCAGTCTGCCCTTGCTTCACCTCCAGGTTTGCTCTGGTCTTGACCCAGCTGCAGCCATGGTTCCTGACCCCACTTCTGCCTCTGTCCCTGTCCTCAGCATCAACCCCCTGCTTCAGCACTGGTCCCATCTCTGCCTCTTGCCAGGATTCTACTACGAGCCCTGTCCTCAGCCATGTCTCTGTTCCTGGCCCCAACTTCTGTGTGTGTGGGGACAGGAGTAAGGGGAAGTGTGACCCTGAAAAATTTGGGGATCACTGGCTTCTGGATGTTAAATTTCAATTAATCAACTAATTGAGTAGTTGGTGGAATTTCCATCAGATACTCGATTAGTCAGTAAGGGGGACACTCATTAACCTGCTGCATCTCTCCCATTGAAATGGATTAGGGCTGTGGGCAGCTCTTGTACATTTCAAACAGAGAGGCACAGCAGTAGAGATGCCTCTGCCTCTCCTGCCCTCTGTGGAGATAGTGCTGGGGGGAACTGGCTTTTAAGCTGGCTCCCCCCAGCACTGGCTCCTGCTCCCCCTCCCTTGCTGCCCGGCTACAATTAAATTGTTTAAATAAACGTGTTGCAGTGGTAGAACAAAAAATGGTGTGTCTGAAAACTGTAGGTAAGAACTGGAGGTTCTTACCCCTTTTTTGCAAGAAAAAAAAAGATATATATATATATATATATATATTAAAAAAAGTTTGAGAAACATTGGACTAGTTGACTAGTTGCTTACATTCCTACACTGACCTTAGAGGATAGAGCACTTGATGGAGAGCTGAGTTGTGTTCCTGCCTTTTCCATAGACATGTTGAAAGACTTTGGGCAGGTCACACCCTTTCTCTGTTCCTCAGTTTCTCTATGTGTAAAATGATGATACTGACTTCCTTTGTCAAGTGCTTTGAGAGTTAACTGGTAAATGCTATTTATTATTATGATAGTGAAGTATCTTCCCTCTTCCTTGCCAACCAAAGATTGGCATTAACACATTTTGAAAACTGCAGCTGGGTCTTTTTTGACCAGAATGGCAGATGAGCACACAAAACATGTATAGAAGAGAAGAACCAAAAAGAGGGATAGGTATTTAGACATTTGGCAGCCTTCCTAGTGAACTCAGAGGAGGGTGGCTCACCAGCTGGCAAGCGAGGCTCTTTGGCCAGGTTCTTTGAATATTAATGTGATCCTGAACAAGTGAAGTACAATGTACTGTGTTACTGTTCTTTTGTAACTTTGCCTTCATAAAAAGTACAAACAACAACCCCAACAAAAAACACAACGCAAGGAGGAGGCCTTTAGGAGTGAGACCTCCAGCTAAACTCCTTTCACTCTCTCTCCCTTCTGCCTCTACTGAAATTCTACAATAACAGCCCATGCTGTAGAAAATTG